TGGGGGGGGGGGGGGGGTTTCCTTCTCCAACTCTTCCCCCTCCAACCCAAGCCTCCTGACAATGGCAACCAGAAGCTGCAGCATGGGGCAGCCAGCCAGGCTTTTTCCTACATCGGGAACTGTGGCCAGAGGGGAAAAGAGCCCCACCACTGCACAGACTAAGCCCACTCACTGCCCCCCAGCAAGCTCTGTGGGGCTCTTGAGGCAGAGCAGGCTCTGTTTCTCTTGCCTTCTCCACCCTGCTCAGCCATGCAGGGAGGAGACAGAGCCTTTTCTGTCACTTCTCTGTGACATGCTGGGTGCTTGTCTACTTGGCCAAAGCTAACAGGCTACCCAGTGAGAAGCCCCTGGGATGCTCACGATGGTTGTGGTACAGACATTTGATAAAACACTCTAAAGTAAAGTGCTTTAGTCTAATATCACATCCATCGACAGTTAATGTAGAGCTGAATTTACCACTTTTGAAGTGCTTTAAGTGCCATGTTCTGTTATGGCTTTAAAGTATTTTCGGCATGCTTCACATTTGTTAAGTATAATGTCTGTACTGAGCCTGAGGTGCCACCCTGCCCTTCCTTTACTTGAAAGCAGAGATGAGTGTGAAGTCAAAAGCTGTAATATTTCTATTCAATAAAATAAACTGAATATGAAGGAGACAAAATAAGATATAATTTCCTGGGTATCATCTGGAAAAGAGGCTTTTTGGCACTGTGTTCATCTTACAGACCTATTAGTAGCAATCTATCAGTTATGGAAATGGATTATATCAGTAACCAAGTCACTAAGGAAGGCCAAGTCTATACATTTTTGTACCAGAATAACCAGGACATCTTGGGTGCGTGTGTGTATATATATATATATATATTAATCAATACGTTTTTACCAGTACAACACCTAGTTGGGCTTATTTACATCAGTATCAATGTGTACAGTTTTTTCTCTTTCCTCTCAGTAATTAGCTACATGGGTATGAAACATATTTATACCAATATAACTGCAGCCATGCAAGGAGGTCAAACTGCCTATACTTTGCCAGATAGGTGTGCATCCAACAAGGGATTTAAAAAAGAACCATATAAATCCAGGAACATAATTTGACCGTATGAGTTTAAAGGTAAACTGCAATATGTCAGAAAACTACCCTACATGATTAGCAATACAAAAATAGGTTAGCAAGAATTCATATGAAACTGCCATCACAGGCTAAACAAGAAAAAAATGTATCTAAAACACCAGTGTACATCCCAGTCCTAGCCATTTTCAAAAAGCCTAATCATGTTTGTATTTTTTAGGTTGAATTTAAAACTCAAAAACAGGGAAGATTCAAAGAGGTCAATCTCCAGCATATAATGATGCCTTTATACCTACATATCAATGCTTGCACTGTATAAAATTAAATCCTACATTAACGCCCATGCCTCATAACATTATTAGTAGCACATTTTAATAATACTACATCTTGACCATTATTATAGTCCTAATGCTATTTCTGTTCATTCATAGCATCTATATATATAGTGACAGCCTGTGGTACTTGTTTTCTTTCCCACATCATGATCTTGCTTTAAATATATTATGTCGTAAGGGAACTGGTGGGTAGACTCAACAGCAGTAATGTCAAAATACACTGCAATAACACAAACAAAACCATTTTCTGATATTGTTTCCAAACTGGAGTGTAATATCTCTTAGCTCCATAACTTTTTGTACTGCCTGCTAAGACACACCATGGTATGGTTTTATTGTATGTACACCAGTGACCACTATTCTTTTGTAATTCAACCATCAAATGACCTAGCATGTTTTTAAGGGAATAGTTTAAAATAAGATCCATCAGTGAATTAACTGGAATCCAGGGGCATCTATACACATGCTCTGGGGTAGAGAGGGGGCAATTTAATTAGAGCGATTCCTAGAGCCACTCTAATTAAAGTCCCCGCAGCATCACATGTATTGTGTCCTGTGCTTCAAAAGGGGGAGGGTGGGGGGGCACTTGAACTAAAGCTCGTTTGATGAGCTTTAGTTCAAGTGCCCCACCACCACTTTGAAGCACAGGGATGCTGATTAGACATGACACGGAGGCTGCTGGAGCGCACTCATTAACATGCTCTAGCAGACTTGATTAATCAAGTTGACTCTGACACGTACTAATTAGCACATGTTGGAGCAGACATCTGGCACATGTATAGGTACCCCAGGTGAGATCAGACAGCTCCAGGTCAATAATTGTCATACCAGTTATTATACCATATTTGGGATATGGTCTTTTTCACAAGGCAAATAAAGGAAGTACATCACAAAATGAGTTGCATACATGCTACCTTATACTTGAAAAAGAAAAAAGAACTGGAATCATCAATATTTTTACCTTTAGGTGTTGGAATTGGTCTGTCATGTCCATCCACTTGACCTAAAGGGTCATTTGAATCTGGGATCTCCATTTCACCTAGGTGGAAAACAAATAATTAATATTTTAAATAATGCAGAGTCTTGAATAGAATTAATGTTGCATTTTAATTCACTTCAGCCTAAATTCTGGTCCACTGAAGTTAACAGCAAAATTCTCAACAACTTCAAAGGCAACAGGATTTAGAATTGATTAGTTATATAGCTATGTAAGTCTATGGAGAGCATTGTGTGTGACACAATGGCAACATTAAAAAGTGCATTCCATTTCTAGCCAAACAAAGAATAATAACATTCAAAAACTCTCTAAAAGCTGCATTTAACATATCAGGCTAAAGGATACAAATTTAGGGAAACTGGAATTTCAGAGAAAAAACAAGATACTTGCTGCAGGTAACTGGTTTTGACTTTGTTCTGGCAGATAGTAAAAGGATATAGTAGTTTCATAGTAGCTAGAGTCAGGAGGGACCTGAACAGATCATCTAGCCTGACCCCCTGCCACAGGCAGGAATGAATGCTGGGTTCACAAGACCCCAGACAGGTGATCATCCAACCTCCTCTTGAATTTGCTCAAGGTAGGGGCGATGACCACTTCCCTGGGAAGTTGGCTCCAGATTTTGGCCACCCTAACTGTAAAATATTGCCTTCTGATCTCCAGCCTAAACCTATTCTCCATCAGCTTATGACCATTGTTCCTTATCACCCCAGGTGGTGCTGGGGAGAAAAGGGCTCTGCCTATTTGCTGTTGATTTCCCCTGATGAGCTTGTAGGCAGCCACCAGGTCCCCCCTCAGCCTCCTCTTGCTGAGGCTGAACAGGTTCAGGTCCTTCGGTCTCTCCTCGTAGGGCCTGTCCTGCTGCCCTCTCACCAAGCGGGTGAACCCTCTCCAGGCTGGCCACATCCCTTTTGAAGTGTGGCACCCAGTACTGGATGGAGGACTCCAACTGCGGCCTGACCAATGTCACATAGAGGGGGAGTATCACTTCTCTGGACCAGCTTCAGATGCATCTTTGGATGCATGACAAGGTATGGCTGGCCTTCCTGGCTGCAGTCTGGCATTGGCGGCTCATGTTCATCTTGGAGTCAATAATGACTCCAAGATCCCTTTCCGCCTCTGTGCATATAAATGTTGGGGTTCTGGTGAGATGAAAGGGCAGAAGAAAAGTGTTCTCAATATTCCCTGTCTCCTATCTCCTCTCCCTTTCAGAGCAAAACCCCAAGACTTCATAGAGGGCACGATGGGGAAATACATACAACCTCCTGAATCCTCCTTGATTTGTTCCAATTTCTCAGTCTCTAAACTATGTGTTCTATCTTTTAACTGTGGACATTAAGTGCAAGCAAATTGCTGCTAAGGCACTCCACTTGCAGCACAGTTCAGAATCAGAATAATTCTCCGGCTGGATGCGACTCCCAACTGTCTGCGCAGGCAAGGGAACAGATTCATGGGTCGTGTCTCCACCACAATAAAAAGGCTTTCTCTTTGTTGTTTTACCTGAGATAATCAAAGTGTAATAGTTTTTCTGCAGTAAAATCCTAGTGGAGATGAGTCACTTCTAGTTTTTACCACATGGCAGCTGGGCAAGATCAGCTCAAAGCCCCTATCTGTGCTTGGCTTCACCTAGGTATTATGTGGTAAAAATGATAGGTGCCTAGTTTCCAGCAGGTGTGCAGTGTGGGACACCTAACATATATCACTTATACCACTGTGAAAAATACAATGGCATTGGAAGGGAAAACAGAGTAAGAAAAGTGACTTTTTTGTAGACAGCTTTGAGTCATATATGCAAAGCCCAGCCTGCTCAGTGATATGTGACTCCTGTAGATGATCAAAGCCCCCTGCAATTTACAGAAGAACAGGATAAAATGTTAATTATGCCCAATTTTTAGGGAAGCACAATCACTCTATGCTCACACTCCTCTACATAATTTCTGGTGCTTATGATTTACATCCCTTCTGTGTTTTATTATTATATGTTCAATTTTCTTCCCTACTTTTCAGATTCTTCTAGCAGTTTAGTGGGATTCTTAACAAGAACGAACATGAAAAACCTAGAAAGAAGGCACAGCAGTCTCTATTCCCTACTCCCAGGACCCACCTCCCTAGCTGTTTTGGAGTTTGTTTGGGTTTGTTTTTTTTATTTTTAGTTTCTCAAATCAGCATAGAAAGAGACAAAAGCATCTGCTGATTTTAAAATGTTTTAATAACAGTTTTGTGTAATTCTTCTTTGTGCTTTGTATGTTTACGTCTGGCAAAAACACTTATCCCCAGATGTGCCTTATCAGAGGATAATTACAAACCACAGACAGTATCTACAAGTAAAGTCTCCATGACTAAGCAATGTTAAAATTGAAAATCCTCTGTGTATACTGTAAAGTATAAGTCCAAAACAGATCTGCCATTTTAACTGTTGCTTTAATGAAAGAGACATTTATCTTTTAAATACTTTAATCTTGAAGATTCCTCTTTTAAACCATCTTTTGTTATAAACTCTTAATTTTAACCCCAAAGTTTCTGATCTAAGATTGAAGCAACACAGAGCCATGCTCAACATGAAATATTGCAAAGATTTTATGCTGTGCATGAGTCTGGATTACAGTTATGAACAAATATTTGCTCACAGCTCTCTTCCCTAGAAATTAAACCATATAAATAAGAGAATCATAGATTCAACATACTGATAGCTGCTCAGAAAAAGAGCATCCACACACACTGGTTCTTCCAGTTCTTCATAACTTTTTATTCCTAGGTTTAATACATCCTTTTCTAGCTATGACTGGAACCATAAAGCTGAGCCAAAGTGGGTACCTGCTGTCCCCACCCCTTCAGTTCTCTGTTTACAATGGCAGGTGGAGCCCTTTGCCAGTTCCCCTGTAATCTCTACGTTGAGTTTACACTTTGATACTTGCTCTCAAGACACTACAGAACTGCCCCTGGGACTGCTCAGGACATCTGTAAAATGGCATTCTTTCTTCCTTGTCAACATCCTAGGGCTCCTACAGATGTGCAGAGAGCCTGCTCCGATGCACTGGAAATCCAGACTCAATCGAACCTCCTGGAGCACAGAAATTGATGTGCTCTGGCAGCCTTTCGCATCACATGTATCAGCATCCCCGGGCATCCCCACACTGAAAAAAAGGCAGCAGGGCGCTTTGAAATAAAACATGTTCAATGAGCTTCAGTTCAAAGTGCCCTGCCACCATTTTTTCAACAGGCATGGGGACACTGATACACGTGAGGTGTGGGCACTTTTAATTAGTGTGGTTCACTAATTAAAGCACCTGGTACCGCATCTGGAGCACATGTAAAAATGCTCCTAGATCAGATGTCCCATTTGCCTTTCCTTCCCCATCTCTCTAGTTTTCCCCGTTACTTCCCAAGCATTCTTCACTGTCATTTACACCTGGATTGAACAATTTGGTCAACTAGAATTATAAACTCTCCATTGCATTTTACATGGTAAATTCTCTTGTCCAAACAAAGCCTTCATTGGTGCCTTGCAGCGTGTACAGCATATTTTCTACTAAGTGAACAAACAGCAATGCCAAATAAGAAAAGTAGCAATAATATTGTGGCTGTGGCAGTACTGGCACAGTAACCTCATTGTGGCCATCTTCCTTGATGTTTGAGAACCTGGTAAATGATAGTATTCTTGATTTTAAACACTCGGTGGGCCAAGTTGTCCCTCACACTGCAAACAGAATTTGA